TCTATCTGCCTGCTCATTTCCCAACACACCCGCATGACCTAGAGAGAATATCCAAAGGATACCAACTACCCTGGACCTCTGAAGTAAATATGATGTCATTTCTCAACTCATAATAAATTCTTCGAATCAAACAGATTAATTTAAAACCTGCTTGGTCCAATAATAATTTGATGTGTTTGTTTTCCCAGGTCGACATTCTGTTGATGTCCTATTTGGTGGACAGCAAGTCCAGGGCAGCCCCTTCCACATCGATGTCTTTGACATTCAGAAGATCAGGGTCAACAAATTCTTTCAGGGGTCAGTCAATGAAAAAGCTGGATTTGAATGTAAGTTGTTTTCCAAAGACATGTATCTATTAGTTATGTACTGTGTAACATAATTTTCTGTATTGCAAGAAATATGAACTCCAAACAACTTACCATAATTTTCTGTATTGCAAGAAATATGAACTCCAAACAACTTCCCTTAATGAAAATATGATCCGCTGCAACACGCCTATGACAATAGAAAACATGCTGGGAGTCGATGGCTCTATTTAACAACATTGAATGATTAAACAGTACATCACAAGGACAGGAGTTAGCATATGAGATGATAATATATCTTTAGACATAATAATGTTGTCCCAGATCACTTTAGATATCCTGAAGATAGATTACACAGTATAATTACTACAATTGTTGGAAAGTACACTTAAATTAAGGCCTTTAGCCTTGGCTGGCAGTTGTTCTAGGAAGGGAGCTCCAACAGGCGGACAGAAAGAGAACTGCTTTTATGATCCAGCAGCTTCTGCAGCGTGCTTTGTTCCGAACATACTGCTGGTGTTACCTTTCCTTTGAAGTAAACAAGGCAGGTTGGGTGAGGAATCATCAACACGTGGTGTTGACAATACTGCCCAGGCTGCGTGACACTTAGAGGAGAAAGCCATGGGCTGTGAGTGCCATGCCTCCTCATATCATCATATAACCCTGACATCTGGATAGAGGACATGGTGCCAACACACGCGCTTAAAGATATTGAACATGACAGTCTACACTCCTACAGTCTTATACAGTTGATACATAAGCTGTGCAATATTCCCAGGTCAAACCCAGCTTTGAATGGGTAAAAGTAAAAAAAAAAGAAAGAATGGGCACCAGGTGCAATCCTAGGAAGTCAAAGTGCCCCCCCCCCCCCCCCCCCCCCACGATGTTGTTCTCAACATCCACCAAGAGCAGATTGGTCTGTAAAATAGAGATCTAGCCCTATATACCCAGAATGCCTAAAGGCCGGGAAAAGGGTCCTTTACTGGTTTTTTTTTTCATTTTAAACCCCCCAAAAAGCCTATTTCTTTGCAACATAATTGATAGACATCCATTACTGAAGTAGAACAATCTCTATATATCCCAGTTATGACCTAAATGGGTTGAACAGGATATTGTTGTTTAAACTACTGCTTCTTGTTTGCATGTTTAAGGGCTGTCCAATCAAGCAAGTTCTGTATCAAGGTCTTCCTTAGCCTGTCCTGTCTCCTCGTTTCTGTCAAAGGAGCACTGTAGTATCAGTTTGGTATGCCAGTAGATCTTGTTATATGTCTGTACCATTCACTGGTTAAAAAAATACAATTATTTTTATATCATGAAGGTTTAACTCTTTAAGTCCCAAGGAACGCATCATACGTTCATAGGTTACTGCCTAGAAGCTCAATGAACGCATGATGCACCGATTTTAGTCTCTTTTGACTACCCCTTGGGCCTGTGATGCTAAACCCCCTGGGACTCAAAGAGTTAATGGAGATATGTAAAGTTAAGAAAAACCATGAAGAAGAATCCTGAATTAATTACATTCATGGTGGCAATATACACAGCTGTAGTGACCATATAGGGAAGCCAGATTTCTCTAGTATGTTCTGACCAAATATAAATTATGAGAGAACACATTCACCCAAGGGGTAAAGTCCTTTACACACCAGCTTTGAACTGTAAAAGTTAACTATAAATTTCAGTGGACTGCACCCAGGCAGGAAGTGGAAACCAGGAGATCCGCATTGTGAGCCCTTCAGGTCATACAGTTCCCTTTCATGTTGAAGAAGGGGCTAATCTGATCCACCATGTAACTTACACACCAACGGAACCTGGCCAGTACAAGATCTATGTCTCCTATAGTGGCATGGAGCTCAACGGTGAGTCTTTGCTTTTTGTTGTTGTTGTTTTTGCTCTTCTTATTCTTTTTCTTCTTCATCTTCTCTTCCTCCTCCTTCTTCATCTCCTCCACCTCCTCATTCTTCTCCTCCGCCTCCTCCACATCATTCTCCTCCTCCTCCTTATACTTCTTCTACATCCTGTGCCCCAAGGTTTCAGCCCCTATGGAGTTCAGTAGAATCAGATCCCTTGGTTACCATTCTCTCTCCAGACCGTAATAAACTGTTCACCTTTCCCGTTGCTGAAAATAAATTGTCACTTTCAACCAGCATCCGGGGGGGGGGGGGGGGGGGGGGGGGGGGGGGGGGGGTGGGGGGTTGGGGGGGTGCTTTAGGGTTATAATTGTGACTAAGTTATGTGTGCCTCATATGGTGGCTTAGTACAGCATGCCACCAACAGACCTGAAATGGACTTCTATAGTGTTGATGCAATCAAAGGAGACAGACCTAATACTGTCCTAACTGGCAACGAAGTTTACCAGTGAGCGAGTGGGCAACCCTCTCGCCAGTGATGAAACTGTTGGTGCTTACTGCTCACAAAGAGACTTAAACCATGTCTAGTTTGTTTGAAATACAAATGGTTCGCTGCTTCTTCTTCATCTTCATCTTCTTCTTCTTCTTCTTCTTCATTTTAATATATACTGTGTGTAAACTTCGATGGAAATTTCTGGTTGTTTCTCCACTTCTAACGTAAATTGACCTAGAAAAACCGCAACAGCCAAAAATTCTGGGATTGGTTCTGCAATGTTTTGTAAAGGACATGGAACTGACTAACATCCACTTCTAGACTTTGATCTTGTTCCAGATCTTGTTCCAGATCTTGTTCCAGATCTTGTTCCAGATCTTGTTCCAGATCTTGTTCCAGATCTTGAGTTTTGCCTGCACATCCGTTTTACAGATCGGTTTATATATATGCGGACTGTTGGTTCCGCGCCTCTCAGGCTGATGCACTCTGACTTCAAAGGAAACATTCCTTAATAGTCGTCTTTTATGGCACGCTTACCGGTAGCAGTTGTTCTTTTCTATTTGCCCCACAAAAAGGGTATGGAACCCACATGGAACGCTACTTCATGATCTCAAAAATGTTTCCTTCCCTTTTCTTTCTTTTTTTTTGGGGGGGGGAAGGGGGGGGGGTCTGAATTGCCCACACCTCAGCAGATAAGCCTAGTCTAAAATGGCAATCAGGAAATGATCTGGGAGATAAACTGGTTGGTGTGTGGTATTTATCCACTTTTTCATCAATACCCGAAAGCTGAGGTATTTTGGCCATTTGAAGCAGTGATGGAGGGTGCACTTTCAGGAAATCTCTCCCCCCCCCCCCCCCCCCCCCACCAGCTCACCTTCCACTTCCCCCTCTCCCCTTATCTTCCACTTTCCCCTTCCCTAGAGCCGTCCTAACATCATTATGGGCCTCTGGGCAAACCAGCATGCCGAGGACTCTAAAAAAACACTCACGGGAATGAAATATAAGTAGTCAAATATATAAGTGGTCACTTGGCATAATAACTCTTGTGTGACTCCAGTGCTAACTTATGGATGCGAGAGTTGGAAAGAAACGGTAGCTCTAGATTTTAAAAGAAATAGGCAATTTTAAGAACAGACTTTGTAGAAGAATACTAAATCACTGCACAGAGTTTAGATTCAGTACACAAATAAGACAAGAGACCAAGCAAAGGAAATGTATCCAATTTTATAAGAAAGCACCGTTAAACTACATGGGCCACGCACTCAGAACTGACAAGACTCACCACCCATCAAGCTCACATATAGATACCGAAAGTGAAAATAAAATGGGGAATACCCAGAAAGACCCTGCGTATAACCACAATGAACATCCAAGACCTAAAGCAGGTGGCAACAGACCACCACACATGGAGAGCTATCAACTGTGCCCTATGTGCCGCCCTAGGCTCAAGAGAAAAGATTAGCTAACTTGACATACTCAGACTGGCCTGGGAAACCCAAATGTTCTTGTAGCCCCGGGCAAGTGCCTAGCGGTAGGCCTATGTTTTTAAACGGCACCAGAGCCCCTTCTCCGCCCCACTCCCATATAATATTATTCCAAATATAAGCAATGAAGTTAATAAATAATAAAATTTAAAAAAAAAATTATTGAAATGAAACAAAACTTAAGTAACGTGGTAACCAATGACAACCACTTTATTTATATTGGAAAAGTTCTCCTACTTTTTTTTTTTTTAAATTGCAGTCTTTGATTTGATCCTCAACCTACTCTTATAAAACACAACCACTTCTTTACTTAATAGAGATAAGGCATCCAGCGTACCTTGTTGCGTTGTTGTTCCGAAGGGATTTAAAAATATATACTTTATATGAGAAAATAAATGCTCGGCTGTTGAAAATTCTGTGGTGCCCCATTCTTTCGTGATGCTCTGAGCATATGCCTAGTGTGCCTAATGGTTAATCCGGCCCTGATAATGACATAAATATGTTTATATGACAAATATACGTCGTACACATAAAGAAATGCCACTATACTGAGCATAGAGACACTGAGATGGCGGATGCATTGGAAGACGGAGCTGGAACAGGTCGGAACCAGGACTGGACTAAGACCATTTGATGTCCTTAACATAAGCGTAGGCTCTCCAGTCTTATCACATCATATGATTGCTAGAATCATGGACCAGGTCAGTGTTCTTCTATTGCCCCATTCATATGCGTAGCACCAAATTTGTCTACAAATTCTGAGGCTGATAGACAGAGCAGGGGCAAAAGAAAAGGAAAAAGCAGATGACGCGCAGAGTGCCGATTGATCTTTATAAAGTCTGGGCAAGTGTCTGGTGTTTCCCAGCCCTTACGGAGATATTAGGGCCTTTTGAGCTGGAATGCTACCGAAAATTTTTCAGAATACTATGGACAACCCCCCCACCCCAAAAAAAAAAAACCAAATTGACATTCTAAAAGAGCTTAACATTATAGAAGGTTGGCTGGTAAACAGCAGCCTTGTTTGTTTAAAAAACTGAATGATATTGGCTATATCAAGTGTCACAGTGGATTGTGACATATCAAGCACCACGGTGGATTTTGACATATCAAGCACCACGGTGGATTTTGACATATCAAGCGCCACAATGGATTGTGACATATCAAGCACCACAGTGGATTGTGACATATCAAGCACCACAATGAATTGTGAAAACATAATAGCAGAAGACTTAGTACCAGGAAAAAAGTCCAGTGATTGACCAGTATAAAGATGACCACATGATATAACTGATACCTTGGACAGGAACGTGATGAGAGCGACGTTCTGCAAAGGACCTGTTACATGATGATGATGATGTCTAATATGCCAGTGGCGTGAACGGGGACGAGGTAGAATATGAATAACAAGAACGGGAGAATATATGTAGCAGGAGGTGGAGGAGAAGGTGACAGAGAGGGGGAGATGCAGCGGAAGGAGGAAGGATGAAGAGAGAAGAAGGGGAAGAACCAGTATTGTATTCATTTCTCCTTCACATCAACTCAGCCTTGCTGGACTGGTCAGGTCAGACGGAGACAAGACTTTGACAACACTTGAACTGCGAACCTGCTGGATGCTCCATCGTTCGCTGTGTTGGTAATGTTTCGACTGTCACATTCACCAACTACATAAAAAGTACTGACTACTCTATACAACCACGAGTCAAATTAAACAAGTTTTCAAACCCACCCACACTGGATTGCAGGTTACGTCCTGACAGTTTTGTAGTGCCCCAACATAACTGCTAATGAATGTACAACTGAGGTAATGAGAATTGGCAAGAAACATAATAATATGAACGTTCATGTAAATGGTGCTACAATCAAACAAGAACGAGAATTCAAATATCTAGAAAGCATATTTACAGAAAATGGCAGACTCTATAGAGAGAGAGAGAGAGAGAGAGAGAGAGAGAGAGAGAGAGAGAGAGAGAGAGAGAGAGAGAGAGAGAGAGAGAGAGAGAGAGAGAGAGAGAGAGAGAGAGAGAGAGAGAGAGAGAAGCCAGAGTAGAGAAGTCAAAATTTGTACCTACCAGTTAGCCCCACTGCTTAGACACCCAAATATTTTTTCTTCCAGCAAAACAGCAAAAGATTAATAACGTCTTCATCCCTACTGTATGCAATGAGTGCCAAACATGTACAATGAATAGGGCATTCGAATAAAAGATAACTACATATGAATTGCGATTTCTCCGCAAGGTCACCAACAGCACAAGTAGGGACAGGGTTACGAATTCCAGCATTGTAAAGAAAGTTGGAATCAGACCATGTCTGGATTATATTGACATACACAAAATAAAATGGTCCGGTAGTCTAGTGAGAATGCAACCAAACCAAACTATATGGGATTTATTTTTTACAGCAGAACATCTGGGAGGAAGGCAAGGGGAAGACCAAGAAAAAAATGGATACATGGTATAACTTGGAAAAAAAAGATGAAAATATTAATAATCAAGCCGCCCGAGGAAAAAAAAAAGGGGGGGGGGTGGTATTTGAAGTTTATATTAATTTTTCTTTTTGCCTTTTTCCCTACTCTTTTCATCCGTCTTGCCAGTTGTCATCAGGTTCTCGAGTTCATTGCTTCTTTTAACGTGTCTGAAAAAACATTGAATCTCTACCTCAAATTTCGGAAAAATCTGTGAAGAGTTTTTTTTCTGTCTCCATCGTCACGTGGAGCACAGGGTTTCCACTGTTATGGTGGGAAACAAAAAGACCCATTACCTCCCTCACATGTCGTATGAGTCGACTAATTAGCGGTTTCCTGCGAAGTCGGAGTTTATCTGCCTGAGAGAAAAGGAACCAACAGTCTGCATAGAAATAAGCCCTATCTGTAGAAGATGATGATGGTGATGATAATCTGAATCCAAGTTGGCCGCCTAGTTTTTGTTTTTTGTCTCGTATTTTCTATCATCCCACAATGTTCTTTGTATGTTTCTTTAAACAAAAACTTTCTGAGTAAATTTTTTTTTTTCAACCTGTCTGCTTATCGTCAATGT